CTCCGGAGCGCTGAGGGGCAGGTGGGGGGAGCAGGGAAGGCCTGGCATCCTCCGGGAGTGGGTTGAAAACGTTTCCCTTGCAAATTGGGGGTTTAAAGATAGCTGATGGTGTGGGTATGGGGGCTGAGTGTGCCTGCCCTTAACTTGTCGGTACAACTTGTGTTTAACGTCCTAGGCTGAAGGAGATACCAAGGGCGATAAGGCCAAAGTTAAGGATGAGGTAAGAAGCTCAATATTTTGAGAAAGTTGGATCATAAAGTGTTTGCATTGGAAGATGAGGTTCAACTTCATCAAAACGCAGAACTGGGGAGCAGGGGGAGGATTGGTCTTAATTGATTCTGACTTTTCAAAGTTTTAACTGTCTTTTAACCATAACTCTGAAAAATCTACAGCTACCGTTAACTATTAGTAGTGATTTAAACGGGATAGTCTCATGTTTCTTGAGAATAGGGAAAAAGGGAACTAAAAACTTTAAACATTAGTTCTGGGATTTACTGCTTTGAAATGAGAGTTACTCTAGGAGTTACTTTATGACTTTTTGAAAGCTCACATTCCATCCCATTAAACTCGGTCATTTTTCTTTTCAAACAGCCACAGCGGAGATCGGCGAGGTTATCTGCCGTGAGTATTCTCGTGTTGAGCAGAGAGGTCACAGGACTTCATAGTTTTAGGCTTAAGTATTATCCACCACGTATGTGTGAGAAGCGCAGGTGTTCTGCAGAGACGCATTGTTCAGTTAATTTTTAAATAGAGTTGCTGGCTTAATGAGCTGCCCCATTGTGTGGTGGTATGGGAGTGGTAGAATAATTGGCAAATCAAATAAGTGCTTTAGATTTCGAGTGTTTTCAGTTGCTTTCCTAAAACTAAACTATTTGGGTTGAATGGTTTTGTTTTTTTAAAAGTACTGTCTCCCTCTTAATTTGGATAACAAATTTCTCGTTTGCAGAAGCCTGCTCCTCCGAAGCCAGAGCCTAAACCTAAAAAGGCAGCTCCAAAGGTAAGGTGCTTTGTCAGCAGTGTTATTGAGAGGTAGATGGGTTACAAGGTTTGGATTTGTCTGATAATGACTAATAAAAGTTACAATAACAGTGCATGTAGTGCTGAAATTGAGCTGCGTTGTAATTTCTATAAAGTTGCACCGAAAACTTTCTGATCTTTTTAATACAAGTTTTGTAAAAGTAAAAAGTGAAGACCCTTCACAGTTGTTATCAATCTTTTAAAGATGCAAACATCTTTAAAGGTGTGTGTTGTGTTCTTGTTGGGCCAGCATCCAGTGCTGGTTTTTACCATCCTGGTTTTTGGATTCTGATGCTTTAATGACTGCATGTCGTTAATTGTAACGTCATTTTACGTTTACAGAAGAGCGAGAAGGTGCCCAAGGGAAAGAAGGGGAAAGGCGATGCTGGCAAGGAGGGAAACAACCCTGCAGAAAACGGAGATGCCAAAACAGACCAGGTACAACAGCAGCTCTGGCAGCTTGTCTTACATCAGCACATCACTTTTTTTCCCTATTGAACACAGACAGGTCCGGGCTTGTGCTAACGAAGGGGAGTTATTGCTTGATTATTTAGACCTGTTGCTTATGACGTGAACAACACATCTACAGATGTGGAGGGTGCTGCTTGGTAACGAGCTGAAGTTGTGTCTGACAGGGGAAGCTGCTGCGTGGAAGTTACTGTTTCTGAAAATGTGTGAAGTTGGCACGTCATAAAGCAACTTCACTTTGCCTTTTATGGCACTCTAAATGTCAGCTTTTATTTTGTTAAAAATCATGGTGGTGCAGCCTGGGTAAGATTGCTTCTGTTCACGGAGCTGCTGGTTAGAAAAATGGGTTGTCGGTTTGGAGCAAGCGCATGATGTGTCTTGACGGGTGCCTGGTTTATATTGACTGGTTCTCCTTTTACTTTTAGGCACAGAAAGCCGAAGGTGCTGGTGAAGCCAAGTAAAATGTGTGAATTTTTGATAACTGTGTACTTCTGGTGACTGTACAGTTTGAAATACTATTTTTTATCAAGTTTTATAACAATGCAGAATTTTGTTTTACTTTTTTTTAAGCTATGTTGTTAGCACACAGACTGCTTCGTTGTTGTGTTTCGAGGGGGGGCAGTGGGGACAAATGTCACTTAGTCTACTATTTCTCAGAAACTAAATTTTCATTAGAAAAGTTTTTCCCCCCTCCCTCAGTTTTTGGAAGGAAGGCTCTTCCTGGATAGAACAGGAAGGGATTCATTGCTGCACAGCTGTTCTGTGAAGCGCATCCGAGTGAACACCGGAGCTCCCAAGGTGCCTCTTGCCGACTTCAAACCCACGGTTTGCAATGCCCTCTGTAGTTCCTTTTGCGTCCTCGTTTGCCTAGAGCCTCTCGCTCCGAAATACGGCAAAAAAAAGGCATTTTGGGACTACTTACCACTCCAGTTGCATTGTCAGGTGATCCAGGTGATCCGGACTTGTGGTGTCTAATTTGGGATATCATGGCTCTAAAAGGAGCCATAGTTCCTCTTTTCTATTGTGGATCTTCAGATTCAGAAACCTGAATTTTAATTTTTTGGTTTTGTTTTTTTTTTTTTTCCTCTGAAAGTCAGGGTAGGTTTGTGAAGAGTTGTTAAACAACATGCTAAATGTGAAAGTGTCCACCCTCACTCTAAACTTTCCCCTCTACGAGTATGAAATGAAGATTCTTCCATTTTATAGCAACTTTTGACGTTTTGGTAGTCCACGAAGGGAGGGGAGTTTGACAGTTGTTGTAAAATGTTGCCGATTGTAGCCCATGTCCTGCCTAAATTACCATGATTGTTTATGAAAAGTACCTTTAATAAAGCTGGATACGGTTTGGCTTGGACTGTTCTTGATGCCTTTCTAATTTCTCTTGCCTTGGTTGCATCTCTGGCGTGGTTAACATCGGAGCAACGCTTGCTGCATACGTGTACGCATTTGGATTTAGGTGGTGGGTTGCTGGATGAGAATTGTTATCAGCATCTGAATTCAGTCTAATTAATTCAGTCTTGATTCACAAGCAAAAAGTGAAATTTCCTTACCTAAAAGCTAGGCCGCTGCAGGTTGATTTTAAACTTTTGGCTTAGTAGGAGGCCCAACATGGAGCATGTAAGTAAATCTACTGAGATAAATCATCTTTGCTATTGTCTAAGAAGTAGTACGCTACAAAAAGGGGAAGGACACAGCGATACTGCAGTCACTGCGGAGAAAAATCAGTTTTGGTAAGCTGTTCTTGGTAGTGAAACCAGAACTAGCTCCATAAAACTGATTATGTGTTAAATTAATGCACTTAAGCTTGAATATTGTTGCTTCTGCTAATCAAATACAGACTTTGCTGTGGTGGTGACTAAGCAGGAAGCACGATTTGTTCAGTAAAAATGCCCCGTTTTTATAGTCGCTGCTTAACAGTGCAGAGCAGAGCCAAACCAAAACCCCGGTGTGTGAACGTCTCTGCTCTCTCATGGTGTATTTTTTCCAGTTTTGGTTAAGTTCAGTGACCTGTTTGAACCTGTGCTGTTTTCAGAGAGAAAACAACCAGGGCAGAGTTTCACTTTAATAAATTTCTGGTGCTAGAATTATTCCAGAATGGCTGGAGGTACAGAAAACAGCCAGTTTGAAATGTACCAATGTGAACTACTTTTCCATCTTGCATTATAGCTGGTACAGCTTAAACTTGCTCTAGCAAACGAAAGAAAAAATAATAACACGTAATAATCTTGCACGTACCCCACCCAGAAGCAGCAGCTTAGAAACGGCCAACAAAAATACTGACAGCTTGAGCAACCGCGAGTGGGATGATGATGGGCAAAGCAGAGAGTCATGGATTTGCAAGGAAAAGGCTGTTGTGGTACCAAGACATTGCTCTGCTCTGCTCTGCCTGGTCCTGTCAAGAGACTTGGAGGGATTGAGAGTGGTTGAAGCACCCAAATGAGGGCTCAGATTTGGGCTCTGGGTTCCCAGTGAGTCTGAGCTGTTGGGAACCAGCGGGAGATTGGTCTGGAGGCTGTGGAGGCTTGGGTGAGGCTGTGAGCACTCCCTAGGTGGTGAAATTGGGATTTCACCCAATAATGTAATAATTATTACATTAAAGTAATGCTTTAAATGTTGTAAAATAATGTAAGGAGAAATCTTGACGTATTCTGGCTTGCCCTGGTAGAGCCATGTGTTGGGTTTCTACAGAGAGATTGAGCAGCTCCAGTGTTGCAGGGGGTGCAGACTGGAGCGCACTGGCGTTCACTGGGAGCATCTGTGTAACTTTGGGAGGTCTCTTTGTCCCCCAGTCACTAAATTCTGCCGATAACGTGTGCTTGCAGGGTTTCTTTTTGTTGAGGAACCTCATTATTAATCTTTCCGATGCCTAGAAGTCCAAACTGAGCGTTGCCGTGCTCTGTGTTACCGTACAGGGTGTTTTCTCCAGCCCAGCAAGAAAATGATTCTTTATTCTGTGTAGTAACTGCCACGTAACTTCCTCTGTAGTTACTCAGCCCTGCTATCTTCACTGCTGACCATGAACCTCCCAACCTCACATGTACTGAAGTGACGGCCTTAAAGTCTTCGCCACAGATGTTAATTACTTCATGCTCGTAGCATAATACGCTTTGGAAAGTATTGATGCTTTAATTTTTGCCACAAAACTCCTGTATTTTCCTTTATCCTGGTCTAAAATCCCGCTGGTCAGAACGTCCCCTGTCCTCCATACGTGTACAAGTTGCTAGAGGAGTTTTAATCATAAACCCCACGTACATTTGGTGTGGTGAGGTTTAAGCTCTTGCTCCATTTCGGGTGTTTCCCAGCGGCCGTGCCCTGGTGCTGGAGTTATGGGGCTGCTGGGCGTGACTTGACGTGCAGGGCTCATCTATTTCTCCTTAAAAAAATACAGAGGGGAAGGGATGCTAAAGACAGTAAATCCAGCTAATTAGCTCTGTAAATTAAAAGCTAAAGAGCAGGCAACCCGGTGCTGCGATCCCTGCGCGTTTCGTGGTTACGACAGCCGCAAATCTGCATCTCCAGCTGCCAGAACGCTTCGGGCTGAATGTATGGGTTTTTTCTGTTAAGTCGTAATCATTTTACATGGAAAATTGTCTCTGTGATTTGTGCTGCTGGGTGCATGTAAAGAGCGGGTCTGTCAGGTGGTCTCTGTGTTAGCAGAGTTGTTTTGTCCTGTTTATTTGAGCTTACAAAAACCAGGGACCACCGGTGTTTGCTGGAAAGAAAGCAAACACGAAACGCTCCCCAGTGATCTGCTGAAGGGTACCAGTGATGTGCAATTATCTTCCAGCTAAAGAGAGAAAACATCCTATTTTAAATCAAACTGAGGATTTGAACACTGGGAATGTGCTGCAACCATCCTGGCCTGCAGCTGATGATGAGGAAAAGCCGTGGATTTCACCAACTTTGGGTAAAAATTCAGGTACAAGGTGGAGACAAACGGAGCTGCCAGAGCTTGGGTCACTGGGCT